ATATGACTGAAACGAAGAGATCGAGTTTGAGCGTGAACTTGCAGAACCTCCGATGCCCGACAATTCTTCATCCTGAAACACACAGAGCAATGACAAATAAGATTTGTCCCATGCCAAAAATGGCATTAAAAAAAGCACGAACAAGCAAACAGTGCTGAAAAATAAATAGCAACGCGCACCAGACTAGCCGGTGCGATCATGCATTTTGTGCAATTTAGCCCATCGAACGATTGCCTATTAATGATTTTCACTGCTTTGTATTTTAATCTATGCGAAAATAGTTCAAACATTGGAAAAGTTAAAAATTTCACGCACCAGCGCATGAAAGCTGAACTCGAAACTTGAAGGGTGAATATCTTTATCCCGAGTTAATAGTTTACCTGCCAAAATTTTCACGAGGCCGCAGGTGATCCTCAAGAGCGCAGGAACGCTGAATCTGAATAGGCAAGGTTGCGCGTGGGCGGCGGGGTCATTACTCTAAAATTTCAGCTCCCTAGACCCCGTAATTCCCGAGAAAATAATTTACCCGTAAAAGCTTTCACTAGCCCGTAGGTGGTACCCGAGAACGCGGGAACACTGAACTTGAATGGGCAAGGTTGAGCGTGAGCAGAGGGTCATTATCCTAAAATTTCAGCCACTTAGACTCCGTGGTTTCCGAGATATTAACTTACCCATAAAAAACTTTCACGGGGCCGTATGTATTACTCGCGGGTAAGAATTTAATTTTGCGGGGTCACATGTGGGTGGGGAACGTTCCCCTAAATTTCCAGCTTCCTAGCTTTTGTGGCTCCCGAGTTGAAAGTTGCGGACAAATTGCTGCGGATACACACACGTACACACAGCCAACCCCGTGACAATATGCGTTTTGTACTGCTGCTACACAGCACAAAACGCGTAATAAAAGGGAATAGAGAAACAAAACACCACAAACTGGCATCATCAAGAGGCAGGTGGTACAGAGAAGGAAAACGAAAATATCAAAATGCATCAAAAAAATTTTGAAAACACTTTAAAATAGTACTATACAAGACAGAGCAATGAAGCAGTAGATATGATCCGAGGGAAGCAAGGGGCATACCGCATCGTGCCGATCCGCCGATGTCAAAGTATCGTCCATTGCGGCGTTTTGCTGTTCATCAAGGTAAACTAATTTCCTCATTTTTCGATACTGAAAGTTATCCAAATCGCTAACAAGTGCCTTCGTTCTCGCTATTAATCCCAAAATCACACCATCCAGCTGCCTGTTCAAAATGAATGGATGCTGAAATGTTAAAAAAGATCACCAAATACAAAACGATGTACAATGAAATTATTTTACGTTTTTTTTTTATCAAAATTAAACAAATAAAAACTCATCAAGGAGTGAAAACTCAATCAAAAAAACAACAAATTTAGTCGAGAAATGCGCAAAATGCGGCAAAACGGAACTAGAAACAGCAAGGAAGTATCTGAATGCTTTGAAAACCAAGCAAATGGATGTGGTCACTTCTCCTGTATAAGTGAACGAACGAACGAACTGTTGAATAACTTACATGCTGACAACGATCTGCCTTGATACGCTCTCGTGGATCCTTACGCAAACAAAGCTCAACAAATGATCGGAAGTCGCTTGACCAGGGCATTTCACCAGGCGGCACTTCGGCAAGCGTTGGTGGATCATTCTGGGCAATGTGATAGAGTGCAGACATCGCATTCATATTGAAAAGAGGCGGCCGACGTTCCGCTGCAATTCACTGGGCAATCAGTTCACCACAAAACTCCAGTTATTGCGTCATTTCAGAAGGAAGTTTGCTCAAAACGCGCCCCGCTGCATACACACTCGGGCGGGTTTGGCACGCAACTACCTAAGCAGCACTATTAAGGAAACCAGTAATTCGAGATCATCGCGCACAGAAATAGCGTAATGCTTTCACGCCCTCTTATTCTTGATATGAAGACATCGTAAATTAAAGAAGACGCTGTGACAAAGAGAATAACGATAACTATGGTTCCCACCATTGTCAATTTCTCACTAAATGAATTCCGCGACCGAGGATCAAAATGGAGAACAAAATTAGTAAAGCAGTGGACACTTTATAAGGTCCATCAAAACAAGCAAACAGAAATTCGTCAACAACAAAAACTCATAGACGAAGGTTACCGGCGGGGAAACCAGTAGAGAGAGGAGAGATACGGGAAAGAAGAGGAAGGAGGGAAAAAGAAGCCAGCGAGTCGACTGGAACCTCGAACAATCGATTCACGAGAAAGCGCTTCGTCACTTTTTATGCGTTTTGTGCTGTGTAACGGCGTTACAAAACGCATATTGTCACGGGGTTGTCTGTGTGTGTGTGTGTG